TCTTGGAGCAACTTTCGCATCCAAATAACTTCTTTGCAAGTTTCGCTTAGTGCGATGTGCTCTGCCTCTGTAGAGGAGAGAGCAGTACAGGTCTGCTTTCCGGATTTCCATACAACGCTGCTTCCTCCAACTTGAAGCAATATGCCAGATGTAGACTTCCTGTCCTTTCCGTCGCCAGCCCAGTCCGCGTCTGAGAATGCTTCCAGATCTTCTCCGGATTTTTCCAATCTCAGCGCAAAGTCGGCTTTTCAACTCAAGTGTCGCAGCACTCTTTTCACAGAAATCATGTTTGCGTTTGTTGGGCTGGCATTGTGCCTACTGAGTAAGTTGACGGCAACGGCAATATCTGGACGGGTTTTTGTTGATAAAAATAGGAGAGATAATACAATCTCCTGATACCGAGAGGCATCGGTTGGGGCCGAGGACTCGAGCGGATCGAGTTCAAGGCAAGCAGGGGTGGCCACTGGTTTGCACGAAGTCATTCCAAACCATTCTAAAGACTTGATTGCAGTAGTGGCTCTGAGAGAGCCAGGCCCCTCCCTCATCCTGAATAAAAGTGACGCCCAGAAAACTGCTAAGTTTCCCCAAGTCTTTCATGTCGAGTAGCCCGGAGAGCTCCTTTTTCACCCTGCAGATCTCGGAGAGCACTCTTCCCATCAGAATGACGTCATCTACGTAGAGTAGGATCCACACCCCTCCACGTCGATACACACAGCTGTCGATCACGAGAGCGTGAAACCCCAGAGAGCTGACAACTTCACTCCACTTGTCATGCCAGAGGCGCGGTGCCTGCTTCAGTCCATATAGTTCTTTCCGGAGGCGAAGGGCTTGACCAGGCAACAGGTTGATTCCACAACCAGAAGGCGGTAGAATGAAAACCTCTTCATCAATTTCCCCGTGCAGAAAGGCCGTTCTTACGTCCATTTGGTATATGAAGTAGTTGCGCTTAACAGCAATGGCAAGCGATGTGCGCACAGTGCTGAAATCGACTACAGGAGCATAAGTCGACTCCACGTTTCCTTGCAGAAATCCTTTCACAACAAATCGTGCCTTGTATCTACCGACAGACCCATCATTGAGCAGCTTCTCCTTGAACACAACTCTCGATCTGAGAGGCTTCGTGCCAGATGGTGACTGCTCTATGGACCAGGTGCAATGGTCCTTCAGCGATTTCATTTCGGAGTCCAATGCGTCCTTCCAGGAGGAAGCGTCTGGCAGAGACATGGCCTCTGAAATGGATGTAGGATCCTGATCAGCAGTTGCCAGTTGAGCACTTCCAGCGGAATAGAAGTCCGGACGACTGCGGTTGCGAGTGGGGTAACGAGCCGATTCTGTAGCGCCCGAAACTCCGGGCTCAGTTGCTTGCTGTTCCTGGACGTCTGTGCTATCTATGCGGATCGGAGTAGCTGGCTCATCTGAGCTTTCTCGCCCTCTGAAGTCGGAGGGCATTTCTGGAATATCTGTAAGCATGTCCTGTCCGGCTATGGTGGTAGGTACTTCTGTAGGCGTAGGAACAGACTCGATTTCTGTAGCAGATGTGATTGGAGCAACCGGGCATAAATTCCTATTTCGCACAGATACTGTCTTGTCCACGTTTCCATCTGCCGGGTACAATTCTTCCTCTGCTTCATCGTCCTGCACACCTCTCAAGTCTAGAAACGTGTTTTCCAGAATCTTCACGTGCCTAGTAAGCACTGGAGTTCGTCTCTCAGGTATCCAAACCTTGTACAAGCTGTTTTCGAAACAGCCAACCATCACACCACATTCACTTTTGGCATCAAGTTTCTTCCCCCTTTCCTTGTGAACGAAGGTCCAAGCACTGCTGCCAAACACTCGAATGTGATCAACTCTGCGTACCTTCCCAGTCATCAGCTCGAAAGAAGTCTTGTTTCGCTGTCTTGGACATTAGAAGCGATTTCTTATGTCTGCCGCAAAGGAGATTGCTTCTGCCCAGAATTGCATAGATAGTTTAGCATGAACAGCATAGATTTGGCACACTCTATAAGAGTCCTATTGGTTCGCTCTGCCATCCCATTCTGCTGAGGGGAGTATGGAGGAAGCCTCATTCGCTCAATTCCCTGCAGCTCCAGATAGCTGTCGAGGGCTTGATATTCACCTCCACCATCACAATGCAGTACCTTTATGACGCAGTCATAACGTCTCTCAAGCCAGACTTGATACTTCTTGAAATTTGATCGAACGTCGCTTTTCTTACATATGGGAACCACATTCACATATCCAGAGTATTCATCAATAAATGTCACGAAGTACTTTGACCCTCCGAGGGAGCTCACTGACATTGGCTTACAGACGTCGCTGTGAATCACTTCCCCTCGGCGTTCTGAACGAACGTGTTTGCTCCTTATGTGGAACTTGTGCTGTTTCCCTTGAACGCAATCTTCACAGTGCTCTTCATTTTTCTGCCGGCTACGAGACAAGTCCAGGCCTGTGACAGCCCCCTTCCTCTCTAGCTCCTTGATGCTAGGTATGTTAGCATGAGCCAGTCGATCGTGCCACAACTTCTCCGCTTCTTTATCAGCACTGTGCGGTGTCGCGGAGAACGCAGAGCTGTGGTTTGCAAGATTCAGTAGTAGTTGTTTACCAGAATATTGATCTGTTGAGGCAAGTTGGCAATCGGCTATAAACACTCCACCGGTCAGGGTACCTTGCAAACGAACGATACCATCCTTCATGGCGTTGCACTTCCCATGGCCAAAGTAGAGCTGGAACTCTTCTCTGCACAGGGACGGGCAAGACAAGAGATTGGTATGTAGTTCAGGTACGAGCAGGACCTCTTGTAGGCACAGCTCGTTGATGTATGATTCTTCCTTGTGGCGAATAGTAGCATTGAGAACAAGTGTTCCAGACTCTTTCGCAAATACGGTCTTTCCGTCGCCTAGCAGGATTGGTCGTGGGGTAATGTTCTTCTTTCTTGTCAACCATTCCGCCTTGTGTACCATGTGATCTGATGCTCCAGAATCTATCACAAATTCTACACCTGTGCCCTTGAAGGTGCCTGCCATCATCATGACGGCATGATTTGCAAAGCTTGTGTGCTTCTTATCTGAATACCTGGACGTAGATTTATGGGAGCTGGAACAATTTCGGGCAAGATGGCCAACCTTGTTACGTGTGAAACAGCGACGCCTTTCCGTTTTTGGCTTACGAGTTTGCGCAAACCTGCGACCATTTGAAGCTGTTAGTGCTACAGCACTTTCAGTAGTTAGCTTCAAAAATCCCTTTGGACTAGTGGAAGCCCATTGCTTCTCCTCGGACTCCTGCAGCAATTTCGCAGTGACAGTTTCCCATGATGGACTGTCAGCCCCTGATTGCAGGCTATAGATGGCGTGCCCGTAAGAAGACTTATTCTTATCCCCAAACGATGCGAGAAGCATAGCCACCTGTAGGTCCTCGGCTACTGCACTCTCCATTCCTTCAAGGCGATTAAAGACCTCTTCAAAACCGTCAAGGTAATCGCCCATAGGCTGGTTGCTGTAGGTCATTCGTGCAAGTTTCATCTGGAGCTGTACTTTAGTAGTGACGTTAGATATCGCATAGCGGTCGTGGAGACGACGCCACATCATGCAGGGATTCCCTTTCTGCGCTATGCACATGCGCAAGGGCTTGTCACCTAAGCCCTGAATGATCATTGCCCTAGCCGTGGCAACAGCCTCGGCAGCACTTTCTTCTAGAGCCACCGCACCATTCCCTATCACGTCTGTCGTAACAACAGACCAAACTTTCTTGGCTTCTAGCGCGGCCTGAGTCCTAGTAGTCCACAACAGGAAATCTTCCCCTGATTTCCCATAGAACTTGTAAATGCGCTTGCTGTCTTCCATTGTGAGATATTTGAACCAAAAACGTGGCTCTACCCAGATCAAGTCACAAATAAAGAAGCGACGCGAAACAATGCGGAGCGGCGAGCCGTTACCTGTTAGAGAAACGACGCACAAAGGTGTGCAGCGAAGTGCCGTTCCCTGTTAAAGAAACGACGCACGAACAGTGGTTTCAGCGATTCTTCTGGGCACCAAAACGAATTGAAAGAATTGCCAGACGAGATGAAAGTCCCCTTTGTGCTAGTCGATAAATGATTTTTGTACCGATGGCTCTGTTCACTCAGAGTTTATTTCGGTACAGTACTTATAGACATGAGCAGCAGGGCAAAACCCACCTAAAACCTGCTAACTGCGAAAACATGTGGCACTATCAGTGGGGCCACCAACAACGGTAAAGTAGATGGCTATACTAGCCAATAAGAAAGAGAACTAGCTCCACTACAACCATAAAACTGGACTATTGTACACGTAATTGCAGCAGCGCGTAGTCGTACAAATCAGGAGTGCGTGAGATAAGTAATCTCACGTAACACAGTGAATTAGATACAAATTCACGAACATTAAGTCATGGTACGTGAAAAGTGACGTTACAAGCCGGGAGGTGACCATACTGATGTGAGGTCAACCATATCAACAATGCTGATGTTTATTCTTTCTCACCCTTTTTCTTCTGGAGCTCTAAGCTATACTTCGAGCTACCTTATACAAGTATGGGGTACCCAAAACTGAACAGTCACCCCAAAAGTTGAAGAAGCGAAAAATCTGCCTTTTTAATTCCAAAATCAAGATTGAGCACCAGAAATGGACATATCTCCTGACTTCAGGTCCAACAAATGGCATAAACGCGTTTTGAAAAATCAAATCAAATCTGACCACGAGCTTTGCCGCCCAAAGGTCGATTGGATACCATACTTTCAAGTTCATCTCAGCACTGAAGCAATGAAGTCGTTCGTGGCAGATAGAATTTGAGATATAACTTTTTTTGACTTTTTTTTGATACTTACTTCGCGTTGACCAATAAAACTGTTGTTCAAGTTTCGAGTGACATTGGGGTCGGGATCGACGACGCTAGCGCTCCCACGTGTTCGGGAATTCTACGTCTACTACTATCCACCATTAAAAAAAGCCACCCCGACCTGGACGGTCAAGGCCATCAGCTTTCTAATGGAAAAAAACCCGACTGAATCGGACAATTTTAAATTTACTTATGGCCTGCCATCTCAGTTCTGTTCAACTTTAGTGGACCGGTACTTGTACGTAAATCAAGGGTACGTTACTCATGGGCTAGAAAGAAGAGTAGATAATTCCCCTTTTTGGATTACAGTACCCTATGATGCGAATAGACAGTCCCTTAAATCAAAGTACATGCAGAGAAGAGAATTCCCATAATCTCACTAGGCATACCAGCAAATCAGGCACGTCATAGGTCAACCACATCTTAGTGATTTCTACTTCAGGTATCCTTGGTCAGCGACATTGACAACGGTTACATCTGAGATTTTTTCTGGATGGCCGGGCGCAGAGGCACGCTACCATCTCAACTCGGGAGCCCTTCTTCGGTTGAACTTGGGGAGAAGCACGATAGCCGTCCAGCTTCACCTCGCCCAACAAAGTTGTACGGTACCTTCAAGGTAGACGACTTCTTCGTGGAAAAAAAAACACCAAGGAAACAAAAGTCGATTTCCAGCCTGACACAATGCTGCATCCAAGCAAGGTCTGAGGACAACTGCCCAGCTGGTATTCATGATGCATTATGTTGAACAAAGTGGTCAGCTGGACGTCATGTCGCATGTGACCCAGAAAAAAAATCACAGAGACAGGGTCTTATTCTTCCATTCTGTTTCTAAAGTCCGGCCAACAACAGGGGACGGGAAAAAATTCTGCAGCTCCACGTGGAAAATCTCATGGCCACGCTACCCAGAATGTGCGCTGCACTCCTCACGCCTGCTGTCGTTCAACTTTCTGTCACCATCCAGCGCCATCTCGCTTGTGATCTTCTTGACTCTCTCCACATCTTTAAACCCCAACCATCGCCTTATCGCCTTGATGGGAGGGCCACCAGTGCACGCGGTCCCCATCATGGGGTCTAACACACTGGGTGCGCCAACACCGTCTGCAAATGAGCAGTTGTAAAACCTGTGGTGCATGGCGTGAACCTTCGTATCCAGAGCTGCGATGCCCTCGAAAAAGTTGTATCCTGAATGTTCGTAGAGCCCGCCAAATGCGCCAACCGGGAGAATTGCGATGCATGTAGCCGTGTTGCAGAGATTGTACTTTGACAGAACAGACAACGGCACGAGATACGGCACCACTATTTCCAGAAGGAAATCAGGACCGGACATGTACATGGCTGAGAGAGCCGAATGTGTCACAGAGGAGTGATGGAGTGCATGGTTGAGCGAGCGGAAGCCCCATGACGAGTGTAAGATGAAGCGGTGGGACAAGTAGAATGGAACTTCGTGAAGGAGGGGGGCGAGCGCAACGAAGGCAAGGACAGAAGGGAGAGTACTGGGCGATGGTGAGTAGATGGTTGTGTAGGTGATGCCGAGATGAGTTGCGAGGAGCATGCTTGGGAGAAGGATGAAGAATTGGTTCAAGAGTACACGCGCCATCATTTGGTGGTAAGAAGGGGATTTGGGGAGGGAGTGATACTTTTTGTAAGGCCGTAGCGTGGGAAATCGCGTGTCGAGAAGGTGGAAGACGAATGAGGAGAGGTGGTACGATGTCATGAAGATAAGGAACGACGCTAGGTTTGGATTTTGATGCGCGAAGTGCGCAAAGGCATGGGCGAGAGACATGGTTGAGGTGTTGCAGTTGCAACGGCAAAGCGGAATTGAGGGCGGTGAGGTGAAGAAGAACTTTCAAACGAATTGGGAAAGGACGAGTAGCCTTTATCATGTTTTCGGTGGGCATCATGATGGTAGTTGCGTGCATTCACACGAGTGAACGAGGGGAGAGCCAATGGGGTTGGAAACAATGGAAGATTGGGTGCGGTCGAGGAGACCGCGGCGTCGCAAGACATGATAGAGGGTACCAGCGCTACGTAACTTGCGACATGCAAAAGATGTGTCTAGATTGGCGATGTCGTGTGGATGTTTCTAGGGCGGAGGCGCTCGCTACAGCCAACGAAATATGACGTATGGCACTGGCTTCAGAAGCTTTTGATTGTTTGTCGCTGAGTTGTCCACCAAAGCTTCCCTGCAGCACTTTCGGAGGTTCGAATGCAGTACTGTAGCGATGGGTTTCGGGATGAGATACGCATGGCAGGCAACTCTTGCAACACATTTGATACCCACCACAGCCTCTGATCTTCCCCAGCCAATTCCACTCACGAAGAAGCGCCTGCGATAAAAACAGTTTGGATGGATACATTCACTATGCTGGTGTACCTTCAAGGCCTCCCCTCCTCGTCTATCCAGCGCATGCCGTTCTACCTCTTTCTCGTGCACCCGCTCAGTCTCGGAGAAACAACGCATGACTTGTTGTCTGCTTGCTACTGTGGAAGTTGGCATCACTATATACTGAAATCCTCTCACATACAGATATATCATGTTCGTCTTCTCTATGCCTGCATACTCGCCTTTCAAGTTAAGGTTCTGCGATAAAGATTGTTTCTGAGCTGGCGAGACGGACGTTGGGATTGTGCTGAGCGTCTCGTCAGCCGTAAATTTTTGAAACCGGATCCACGTCATTAGCCGAAATCCTTCCAGAAATAAAAATAGACTCTCCTTGCTGTCCATATTTATTCATAGTAGCACACGTCCTTGATTCTGTCATGGGGAACAAACCTTCTTTCGCTGGCGCTTTCCGCCCACTCTCGGTCCCCTGTACGAGCGATGTCACTCGCACAGGGCACTGTCGACAGTCTCCCCTATTCTGTGGTAGTATTGAAGCTATTCACGACACCAGCCGTCGTCAGTAGACCACAAATACGGCCCTCTGCAAGCATCAAGTATCGTGAGGTATATCTGTTGGCCACCTCGTGAACGTAAACGTTGATTTCGACGATAACAGGCAGCATGCATTGTCGGAAATCGTCAGGTTGTTGTAACGCTGGCGTGTCTTCAAAGGAGGCGGAACTGGCTGTTGTATTGAGGGGTGTTTTGCAAGCATCATATCATAAGTAGTCTTAAAAGGGTGAAGAACCTAGCAAAATTACATGGGCAGTGGGGAATGTCACTTTCTGCCGACGGATACCACGGCTATCCTGAAAATCAATTCGTTAATGCGAAGCACGAGACGAACTCAAAAAAGTAGAACCACATGTGTCGACTGTTATAGGATTCTTGGCAATGACAGTTAACGCGGAGGTGGACGTATAGCCATCACAATGTACCGACTCTTTTTTCTCCTATCAATATCCTCTTGAGAAATTGTCAGATAATAGGGTGTAGGGGTGAGTGCTTACTTGACCATTGAACGATCCGAAATTACAAGTTACTTTGCGTACTGCATCGGCACCATTCGCATCTGGACATCTTGCATTTCAGAAGGGCGTCTATCTCTGAGGAATAAAAGAATATATGGGAAATCAGAAAAGAGCGCCTTTAGAAAAGAAGCATATGACATGTTATGTACGAACATAACCTTTAAGTGGAGTTGGAAAAGGATAACCAGGTACATCTAGACTACTCATTCGTCCTGGTCGTGAAGTCAGCAGGACTTGTTTTCTTCTTGTTATGAGTGCTACGGACATGCTTTCGAATGCTATCACGGTTTCTATACGTTTTCGTGCAATAGTTGCACTTAAAGGTACATCCTTTGTCATGTACTTTTGTACGATGAGACATCAGTTTCTTTTTCTCCTTGAAAATATCACCGCATTTAGTGCAGGGAAACTTCGCTGTTTTCTCATGAAACTGTCGAACATGGGTCATAAGATCGTCTGGTCGCATGAAAGTATTGCCACACGTTGGACATCTGTATACTTGGCCTGGTTTATGGTCCCTATCCTCGTGGTTTTGGAGACCTTCGAGGGTTTGAAATTTCAAGCTGCATGCTGAACAGGGTAACTTCGCCCTTTGTTCATGAATGTCTCGAACATGCCGAGTTAGTGAGCGTTCTTCTGTGTATGACTTATCACACATACTGCATTCATGTCTCTTAATAACTTGCGTCTCGGCGTGAGCGCCAGGTGGAGTACCACGCATTCGACCGATTCGTCCGCTGGAATTTGAGAGACTAGGCGCAGCCTGAACTGAGCTCAATCCGCCGTGAATGGGATTTGTCAATGCCACTACACTTTCGCTCTGCCCAAACTGTTCGCAGTAAAGCTGTGTCATGCAGTGTACCTGTAGCTCATTCAGGGTTCTAAAGAGCTTCCCGCACCTCCAGCAGTCATGACTAGAAGGTCCTGCTCCTCCGCCTTCATGGCTGTAGCTATATCCAGACATGTTGTGAGAATGTGTTGGTTTTTGTTAGAAGCGATAGGATAGTTCTCTTTCACACGGTAAGGCTCTAGTCTTTGATCAGGGATCGTGAAAGGCTCAGCCATTTATACTAGCAGGTTTGCACATCTAAAACCCTAATCGATAATCTATCATTGTGAATACCCTTTAAAATTGGTCGATCTGGGGCAATTGAGCCCCAGAACTGAAATAAAAAATAAAAAATACGAATAAACTATCTCACAGTATTCATAGAGAAGGAACAATATGCATTGACTGCCGTTCCAATTGAGGAAATTTTAGTCTTCGTTTGTTTTTCAGTTTGACACGCCATGACTTTCTTTCCTATTTCTTTGTCCCCAACCATTTAAACACGTTTTCGGTTGCGCCTGCGGTCGATTGTTTCGTCGCCCAGATAATTGGAGCAATAGTTCCGTCCTGCTCTAGAACACCTGATTGTTCTAAATTGAGAGAGGAAATTTTCGAACGACTCCCTTCGGAAAGTGCTTACAGCAGCAGTGTTTTTAGACTCACTTACCTAGTCTAGAAAAACTTCCGAACAACCGTTTAAGAAAATTAATTAATCACGGCATACATGGCTACGCGATACAGAATGGAACTCTTTACAATGGGGGATAGTCAAACCCCTCCCAAATCATTTTTATGGAGAACGTGAAAGTCAGATGTGAAGAGCTGTGTGTTAAAGAAAGTGGGATCTTGATTCCTTACACTTCTTCAGTTTATTCTTGCTGCATGTGTATTTACACTTAAACCACCAGTGTTCTTCATTAAGCGCAGGTTGTGTGCCTTTCCTGCGTCACTAAGTTGTAGAGCTGCGTTCTTATTCGGCGTTGAAAAAAATAACTCCAATGCCACAAGACGATAGCAGACCTTTTGATTTAACCATCGGCCACACCAATCCCATATGAGGCCATCATCACACCGTTTACCAGGGGAATACCTGCGGTTCTCGCGGCACGATCTGAAGAGAGTCTGGGAACTTGACCATTGTTCACAGAAATGGTTGAAGGAATGTTGAATGGTTGTATTTTATCGCTATATCCACTCTCTACGAATCGCAACCATGTTTCTGCATCAGAAGCATCACCTAATGCGCTGACAAATAGCGATGGACTAAGAAACGTGAGCGTAGAGGACCAAATAAAGATGCAACGTAGTAACTAGCGCAGCCGGTAGCGGGGTCAAACAGACGAAGATCGGGGGACAGTGCGAGTCACAGTATCCGTCAACAATCAGCAAGAGAACGTTTACAACTAATTCACTGAGCAACTGTCAAAGGAATGCAAAGCGGAGAGCAAAGAACGAGAACTGAGCGACAAACAGGTTGAAGCGATGGAGGTACTTGGTAGAAAAAGTGGGAAGTCACACACATAGAAAACGTAGCACACGCCGACAGTAGAAGCTGACAACGCAAACAAATCTCGAGATACGGGAAGTGGTCCGAGGAGGCTTTTTGAGCAAAGGCCATGTACTTGGATACTTCCTTGAACATAGCCTAAGTTTCACATGGACAGTGCCCGAAAATTCCCCAATGAGAATAGGCTGAAGTAATCAGAATGCATTGATTCAGCGTCGCTCGACATGCTAATTCGCCTAGACTCGTAAAACTGCTCAGAAAAGACAGGCAACTACTGCCCAGGTATATCCTCCCGTAACGCGGGACGCGTTTCCTGCTTGAGCAGACACCTCTCCTATTCATTTTAAGAAAATACAAGTTTTAGTTAAAAAGTAACCCCACATCTGAAGTAAATTGCCAGCTAACCAACAACTAGGGACACTCACAGTAGAGCAACCGGAGAATGAAATGAAAGGAGTCTTCATTCTAGATAACTACATTATAACTAATTCTGTACCCTTTTTCGGTTGTCCCATTTCATCTGCTGTGTGCAATATCAATTATCCCCTTTCCCGTGCACTTTGCCTTTATGCCTCTGCACATGGTGACTTCTCGCAAACAACTCTCCGCAAATTTCACACCTGTATGGAAGAAGTCTTCGGTGCACCTCCAGTTTGTGCCTCTTCACGTTAGTCTTTGATGTACACCTTTTTTTGCACTCGTCACAAGGGAATGCAGCAATCTCCTTGTGGACTGTCTTCACGTGTCGTTCCATATTAAAGCGCCTCGTAAAGGACTTACCACATTTTTCACAGAAGATTTTGATATCCTTTCTATGAACATTGGTAATGTGGCGTGGCACGTTGCTGCGCAATGAAAAAGTAACGTCACACTCTGGACACTTGTACCTCCCAGATGTCTGCTCATCTGTTTCCCCTCTTCCATCGCCGCTGTTGTGATCGATCCGACCTCTTTTAACACTACTTCCACCTGCCGCACTATTTTCTGCACTAGAACCTGATCTTTGCGATGTACTCTCTCTAGAAGAGTTTGATCGTTCGCTTGCAACTGATTCAGTATTTCGGCTTCTACTGCGTCTTTCGGGGGACGAAGAACCACTCGCAGGCCGGATTTCATCCTCTATATACCCCACATCACCCATCCAGTTGCCGCTTGAGAGGTCCGATAAATCGCTTTTGGTAGAAGGTGAACGAGATCTCTTCATTTTTCAAATGTCTCGAATGAGTATTAGTATAAGTAAATATGATAGAAGTGTTTGGTGCGAACAAGATGTCAAATAGAGCCGCCATGCCTTTCGGTTTCTTGTGCGCTTTTATAGTGCGGAAGCCTGTCAAGTGATATGACTGATTCGCCTGTTAAGTTACTTTGAAGCCGAAAAGAAGATGGAAACTGCTTTTGTGGCTATTCTAATTATTATTATAATCAAGGAGGCGCTAAGGATTCATTACTCGATAAATTGCTACATATCGTGCTTGCCGGTAAATTTCCGTCCTTCTCTCCAGCCTAACGCCCACTGAGACCTGAAATCTATATGTGCGACCACTCCGATACAAAAAGTGTTAAAGAAAGAACCAAATCCCAGAAATGGTAAGTTAGACATGAAAAGTGTCTTGTGAGTACGCAGAACATCCAATCGAACAAACGGTTTGGAAAACGTTTTGGGACAGATCAAGCCTCTCACTCTTTACATGCCTTTTTGTACTTGAGTAGTCTTAGAACCGACGTTGAGGCGGTGTGGAATTTATGTGAAGTGTGAATATCGATTCGGCTGCTTTTGGAGTGGGTTTGAAGTATTGCAATAAAATATGGAGATGCGGAAATATATACATGCAGTCCGCGATGCGATTTGGAGTTCTCGCGCGGGCTAACTTCGATAGCGCGATCGAGAGAGACGTTGACGGAAACATTCAGTAGACTAGTTGAGGCTCAGGCGCCACACGCGCCCGCAAAGAAATAAACTATGCTCACTCTTCCATTCCCCTTGCCCTGTCCAGGTGCTGGTCACCAGCGGAGGAGAGAGCCTTTTGTAATACTGTAATGTAGCCTGACAGACGAGGTCTTAAGACCTCAACAATTGAGGTCTTGCTCTCCAGCGCCTGAGGGAGGTGCTTGTCGTGCGCTGGCGGCAACACTCTACAACCTCCGGCGCGGACACCATGAACAGTATTGGTAGCACCCCATTGGTGCGCATTTCACGACAATCTAATAGCGTTTCGGGACATTCCGTACGTCCTACTTGTACGTCAGGCAAGAATAATTGACAGGTGTGACGAAATCGAAAGTAGGCGCAGTTGGCCATGCATGGCGGGCAGTATGCTGGGCGAATACTGCATTGATGGAGGGTGCAAAGGTGCAAACCAACTGCGAGAGCGGGGGGCGCTGTGATTGTCGAGATGGGGCTGGCAGGGCAAGCAGAAGCCACGCGAGTTGAAGGGCGTTTCTTGCGTCTTGGAGGTTAAGCAGGGGAGGGAGACGCCATGGTGGCGGAGAGGGACGGACGGATCTGTCGCGATGGTACGTGACGAGTGCGCGCTTCACATCATGTGATCATGTGATGTGAATCACATGCCGGACGAGAGGAGGGAGAGAGGTGACGATTACATATTGCCGGGTCATCGACGTCCGTCACTTGTTTAAGCTCCCACATGTAGCCACCTACCGCAGCCACCTACCACGGTGGCCCCATTTCGAGAACGGGTCCTGTCGTTTCTCAACTCGGTTTTGTTAATTGCGGATCGACGTTCGTTGAGCGTGATCAAGGGGATAAGACCCCCGCCGCGGCCGCTGCCTTTCAATCGTCTATTCCCCTTTGTGCCTTTTCTATGAGCCGATCAATTGCAAGCGGCATTCTCCTTGCGATCCCGTTCCCTCTGTTCTCATCCTTTTCTTCGCTCAGTCCGGAGTCCAGGCCGTTGTCTCACACACGTCACGATCGATACAGTACAGCAAGTACAGCACGGCAACATGGTACAGTTCGAAGGTACTGAGCACTGTGGTCATTCGTTTTATTAAATTTCAAGGAAACGATATCGATCTGAAATGCGAGACTCACAGCGTCGTTGCGCCCAATGTCCAACAGATCTCTCTGATTCCTCCATAATCCTCCTGCAAAAAATGTCACCATCACATGAGAACATACCAACTGGCTAGAGATGCCCGTAGAGAATCTGCCATTCTGGCATTGGAGCATGTCTAGCAGCGGTGAAAAATACCAAGTTGGGCTAAATTTTTGACATGGGGCAACTCTACCAGCGTGGCATGTCCAAATTTCTTGGTGTATACCAGCCGTTTTGGTGTATACCAGCCGTTTTGGTGTATATAGAGACTACACCCGACTGCTACACTTGCTCTTATGGCCTTTTCTCCTTTCTTCACCCTTGTTGTCTATACAGTAGACTGTACAGCGAAATGCCAGCTTTGTGGACAACTCCCCATGCCCTCCCTTACTGTATGAGTGCGCTGGCGGCGCATTCCTTAACCTCGCCCCGTCTCGCTGCAATACTCCCCCATCCTCGACGCTATTTAACTCCCCACAACCTCAACCTTGTCGCCATCTGCTCTCGCACCAGTTCGTCAGCTGGCATCCCATTCTTCTCACAATGTCTCTCACGCCCCTATTTTCCTTTCTCCTCTTTCTCCTCTTCCCTCTCTCGCTCGCCACCCAATTCCCACTTCCTTCCGGGGTGCAACCGGAAGGTGTCACCTTCGCCCGTGGCTCCAACTATTTCGCCGCGGACATCCGCTCCGGCTCTATCTTCCTTGTCGATGTCGCCTCCGGCCTCGTCACCACCGCAGTGGCCCCGATCCCTGGCCGCATCGGCGGCGGCATTGACGCATCAAAGGACAGGCTCTTTGTCGCCGGAGGTGGCTCCTTTCTCCCTGGGGTAGAACCAGCATTGCACGTCTACGATATCCCCACTGGCACACCCATCGCCACATGTCCAACAGGTGGCGGCAGCCTTGTCAATGACGTTATCGCCGACAAAGACTTTGCCTTTTACACAGACTCGTTCCTTGGTGTGGTATACAAGTTATCCATTTCCGCTCTCCCTCGTTGCCGCTTCGAAACCATACCCCTCCCTACCCCGGCTTTCAAACCTGAAGCCGGTGTCTTCCGTGCGAACGGGATCGTAAAGTACAAGGGTGGCCTCATCGTCGCCAATTCAGAACTTGCCACACCCTTTTTCATAGACATTCTCAACGGCAACAAGGCGCAGAGAATCCTTCCTAATGGCACTACTGAAGGCATCGATGGCCTGGACATCGTGCGCATGAAGGGTGGGTCACTCTTGTACGTCACCCAGAACAGTCTTAACCGCGTGTCGGTGTGGAAGCTGAGCATCCGTGGACGTCGGGTGTCTGCGAAATTCGTTAAAAATATCACATCATCCGGATTTAACGTCCCTACTACCGTTGCTGTCAAGAAGAATACGCTCGTGGTGGCCAACGCGGCTTTTGGCAGCGTGCCGCCGACCGGACCTATTGACGACGACGTAAGGCTGAACATAACAGCAATTCATATCTAAAGCAATATCAGTTCGGAGGATGCTCTGGCAAATGAGAGAGTATGTGCAGAATCGCAGCACTGTGAGTGATGATTTTGGCTTGCCTGCTTGGTGGTGAGAGGATTCAGTCTCTGGTAGGGATGTTTGAAAGGATGAAGGGAAGCAGAAGTGGCGACGTCCTTCAAATCCGTCAACAGCTTCCCTTGTTCTTCTGATCTTCTGAGGCTTCGGCCTGCACCTTTTTTTGTGTTTGAATTAGATTGCACGCGCTGCAGTTATGAAGTTAAACAACCACATGGAACAGAAGATTTCTTGCATGGAGGGATACTGTAAAATTAATTGTACATTCATCTACTATAGTGTCTATCGGACTGTTATGGTTAGTCCTCATATGAGGACAAAAGTTATTTTTATTTTTTCTAGACAACGCATTAACTTCTGTGTTTTTTGCAAATAGAACTCCATCGCCACAGGTAAAGCATTTTGCTCGTCAATTTTAGCGAAAACCAATTCGTTGACGCACATAAAGCTGTTCAAAAGAAAACGTCGGCTTACAATGCGCATTTTTCTTTAAGCTAATTTTATACCAGTAGCATAGAAACATTGTGTTGAGTGCTTTCTGTTCGGTTCTAACTTTAAAAATGTTTTTGGAATGGGTCAACCTGCCGAAGAAAAATAGAACCCGTGGACATCAAAGTTGAAAAGAAATAAAATTCGCAGTTTTGTATGTTATGTTAACGCTTGGTCGGATGGAGACTAGTAGCACTAAAGTACTTGTAAATATTCTGCTAATCTTCTTTTTCTGTGGGCACGCTTCACGACGTTTATCGCTCGCTTGGTCTCTTGCCTTCGATGCATGATTTAGGAATAACTTCAACATATCGAGATGTTCCCGTCTCTGAGCAGTAAGGTGTCACCAAGTTGTGAACCTCTAGGTCTTCCCTCGCGCTAAAGTAACACCTGCATCTCTCACAGAAAATATTCTTTCTCAGACTTCCTACCTTCCTAGTAGAACCTTCCGCACATTTTTTACCTCCGGTCACCATATCGCAATACTGTGCTTGCTTTCCGAACTGCCTTGTAACAAGGAAAAATTTCCAGTACTGATAATTCTCTCTAAGGAACGCTGCTCAAGGTCACTGGGATTATTCCGCACTATGAAACTGGCGAGGTCCTTCATATATTGTTCTAAGAGAGGAGGGAACGAGCATTACGCAATCTCACATCCACATCAAGGTACACAGACAACGATATGTAGGGAGCAAAGCTAATAGTCGCTGTCCAATGCTTTTATTTGGACACACATGACAGCGTACCTAAAAACGATGACGTCGCCTCTGGACAGGTCGTTAACCCCTTTTAAAACGATTTATCATGGTTTTGGAAACCCCAAAAAGCCGTCGTTGTAATAGAAATTATTCACCTGTGTCTCACGAAGCTCCGATCTTGGATTTTGACGAATGTCTAATATACATAGGAATTGTAAAAAACGTTTCAAGCGGTCGCCCTTTCGCACCATAAACGTGAAGCAGGAACCTATCTCAACCCAATGTTCAAAAGCGAAGAAAAACGGCCAATGCCCCTCAGACGCAATTTTTGAAATTGCTCTATTGTATCGCTTCAACATTACACCCCACCCACCCGCTTCTTCATATGATGTTTTTACTTCACTACTGCTGGACGTGAAATTGATAATGCCTGGGGAAGGATGAAGAGATGTGAAAAAAACCGTTGCTGAAGTCCACCAACCCACGCTTGTGCATGTTTCCGACTTTCTTCTACTGCGTGTTTAAGTATCTAGCTGAGCAGATGGAAATGTGGCAGATACTCTCCCTCAAGCAATATTCATCACACACAATCAACACCACCCAACACTGAATCATTCCAATATTTTCAAAAGCACCCACATCTATTGCATCACTGCATCATGTCTGCATCTAGAAGCAGTAGTAGTAGAGGGGCTGGACCCTCCAGATTTGACTGTTCGAGGTGCCGCAGAATCTTTACAACCAGGGAAAAACTCCGGGAGCATTGCCTTATAGAGATTAATTGTGCACAAAAGGGATCAGGCGGAAACGCAAGCGAGGCGTCGGGTTCTATATTCGATGGATTATCCTCCTTCCAAAGCCTGCCTACCATATCTCATTCCAGTCGTGACACTAGACGTGGAAGCAAGCTCCCACCAGGAGCTATATTCGATGGCTTATCCTCTTTCCAAAGCCTGCCTAGCATATCTCATTCCAGTCGTAGCACTAGACGTGGTAGCAAGCTCCCACCAGGAGCTCAATCTGAGACTCAAGAGCTTTTCAAATGCGATATTTGCCAGAAGTCATACAATGGGCGTCGATCTCTCGTTCGACACGTTCGTAACGTCCACAGTGATAAGAAATTCCAGTGTCCTCATTGCAACGTGCGCTACTTAACGAGTGGAGGACTGCAAAGACATGAGCAGCGTGAACATCAGCTGGGCCAGGAGCACAAATGCCAGACCTGTGGTCTTAGATTTGCTGGTACTAGAAGGCTGGAGGTTCACAAACGAGATATGCATTCGGAAACAGCAGAGTTTTCTTGCAAGCATTGCAAAGAGTCTTTCTCGAAGAGAAGTAGGCTTAGGGCTCACATGGAAAATGAACACGATGGAGGATATATTTTTACATGCAAATTATCCCCAAAGTCGTACGGAAAGCGCACTCGGATTCAGCGTCATGTGCGCGAAGTCCACGAAAAAAGAAGGCCAAGCCACGAGCACTACTCTGAAAGGAAAACTAGTTAATACGAATAAAGTGCAGTACCAAAACTTCTAGCTGTTTGTCTTCTCCTACAAACTGCCTTCTTCTTGAATTTTGATCTGCCCAGCGGGAATTTCAAACTTAATTCGTTGATTTTCTTTTGCTAGCGTCTCCGCGCGAAGACCGTTTTATTCTGCACTGCATGTACAGATGCAGTCTCAGGGCCGGTTCTAACTCAAAGAAATCTTGATCAATCGCCTTCACAAGATCATGGAGTTACCTGCAGCCTATTAATTGGTTAGTTCGATGTTAATCTTTGACATTAAACTTTATCTCAGCGCTGGAAGAAGTCCAAGAGACAAAAAAAGTGTGGGTATTTGGTTGGCTCCTATTTTTGACATCGAAGCAAAAATCAGAAAGGGAGGTGTGATTGCCCTGGCCTGCTTGTAGCGTGAGGAGTGCCGCAAGTGGCAAGCATCAACCCAGCTCAGGAAACATTGAGGATCGGTTTTTGGAGGCATCTACTGTAGTGTAGTGAATGGAACCCATTCACTTCGGTACACACTCACCCACCCAGGCAGCATCATACATGCTTAGGTAGCATACCATTTTAGGTAGGTTTTGTTCGACCCCTTTTTGGGACAGAATTGGTGTACTTAAGACACCAATCTGTGCCGCTTCCGTAAATCGGAGGCATCGAGCCTCACAACTCTCACCAACCTTTGCGCTTTCGCAACCGGCAAGCGCACAGTGATCACTGCCGATACTGGTTGTATCGCATTTTTTTCCGTTCGATCACCAATGGCGTCGCGCTCGGCCCATATAGTCACTCTGGCCCACCACGATGAGCAACAGCGTCTTTGTCTCTACACAGACGCATCTGACACCTCCTGGTCCGGCATCGTTACTCAGGTTCCTCGAGAGGATCTTCCCCTCGTTCACAAACACCAACGTCACAGCCCACTCGCCTTCTGCTCGGGCAAGTTCAACACCACCCAATTGGCATGGTCCACACTCGAGAAGGAAGGGTATGCCATTATGGCAACTGTGGAGAGAATGCACTGGCTTGTAGCAACTGCCGCAGGTTTTGACCTCTATACTGACCATAACAACTTAGTTTTCATCTTCGACCCACTGTCGCTCATCCCTGACCTCAGCCAATCTTCCACGCGTAAGTTTTTACGCTGGGCTGTGCGTTTGAGCGCCTATTCGTACACGTGCTTGCATATCAGCGGATTGGACAACGTCTGGGCCGACATGTTAACTCGCTGGTGTGCGCCCAAGGCTGTTCGTCGACTAATTCAGATTCCAGTTCTCCCCAGTACCGCTTCCGACGATTTCTAGTGGCCTTCCCTGGAATAAATAACTCGGCATCAGGCCGAACACTCCGACGCTCGCCCCAAAACCTCGCGCTCCTCGATGGCATATGGAAAACCCCTTCTGGGTCCATTTGGATCCCAGACCCGTCGGAAACACTCCAGCTCAGACTCTGTATCATAGCACACACTGGACCTGCAGGATATCGCGGTAAGCAAACCACAGGGAAAACCCTCAGCGACAGCTACCATTGGACGACACTCACGAAGGACGTCCATACCTTCACCGATGCGTGCATCCATTGCATCTCAACCACAGGAGGACAGAAGGTATCACGGCCGTTCGGGCCCGCGCTACACGGCACTGGACCTAACGACCTTTTGCAATTCGACTATATCGAAATAGGACCGAGCCATGCAGGATTGAAATACGTTCTAATGATGCGAGACGATCACTCTGACTACAAGTGGTTCTTCGCCACACCGGACACAACCGCCGACAACGCAGCGCTCTCGATCGTCGATTGGTGCGCCGCGTTTAATGTCCCGCATGGTCTCATGTCCGACGGACCGACACACTTCCGAAACGAGACCGTCCGAAAAATCACGAAGAGTCTTCGTATGCCGCATCATTTTACTTTACCGTACACGCCCTGGAGCAACGGTGCAGTAGAGCGTCTTGGCAAAGAACTCATACGGACCTTTCGTGCCCTCACGTCCGAGTACCAAATGGATTTCAAGGAATGGCCAGATCTTCTCCCAGTCATTCAAAGCATCCTCAACAACACGCCTTGCCCACATCGCGGAAACATCGCACCCATCACGGCCTTCCTCGGAATGAAACCCACCCCACCCATATCCACATTTCTCAGGACGGCTACAGCTAAATCGGTTACTGTACGCGAAGCAAATCTTGAACAGTGCACAAACATGACCGATCTGCAACGTCAAATGGCGTACTTGCACCCTTTCGTCCACAATACGTTGCAGCATAACAGGCAGAAGTGAAGAGAAAGAGCTTCAAAAGGAACATTGCCCAGTTTCGAGAAAGGCGACTTTGTTCTGGTTGCCAGAGAACATTTCACAGCTGGAGAAAAACTCGCCCTACGCTGGCGAGGACCACGTCGCATTGTCCAGGCATTGTCCGATTACGTGTATCAAGTCGAAGACCTTCGCACCGGTTCTCTTCAAGACGTGCATGGATCTAGACTTAAATTCTATCACGACGCTTCGCTGGACACCGAAGCCATAATGTCTCACGTTATCTCCTCGGAAACCGGCATGATCGTTCAACGACTTCTTAAGTTAGTCGAGGACCAAGACACGCTACTGGTCAAGGTCCGTTGGAAAGGTCTAGATAAGCCTGACGACACCTTGGAACCGTTAACGCAAATCTACAACGACGTCCCCCAGATGCTTCAGAAACTTTTACGTCGCTCGAGCACTCCACCGCACCTCGCG